AAAGAAAAAATATCAAAAGTAAGTAAATAAAAAGTATTGACTTTTCATATTAAAACATACAAGATATATACATAGATTAAAAAAAAAAAAACTACCACTACAACCCATGAAGGGTCATGGGTTCAGTACTATTCAGGGAAAGTCCAGTTACTATGCCAACGGTTGTGCAGGGAGGGGATCGGTCCTGGATCACGCTCAACCGCCAGGTTTTTCCCCTTAATCAATTATTTAATTAAGGTTACACACTTTGTAGAGGCAGGGTGTGCCCCAGGAGGGTCCCTCTACCCTAGGGCCGCCCCAATGAATCAGAATAAAAAGAATTTGAACCCGGGACCTTGAGTATTGGAAGCTTAGTGCCCTACCACTGAGCTACCCCACTCCCTATATACATAGATAGATCCCAGGTACATAGATTAAAGATATATTAATGACAGAAGATGAGCAACGGGATCACAATATTGCATTATGGTGGCATAAGAGATATAAAATAAGAATAAGTAGATAAATACAATTAGAAAGGGCATTAAATTAATTTTATGAGAAAACAATTGCAGCGACAAAAAGAAAAAAATTAATAAAAAGAAAATAAATTATTTATATATGTTACTTAAGAACTTCGAACGAGAACTCGCAATGGTATTTTAAACTATAAACAAACACAGAGATTAAGATAGAAAACATTATACATATATAAAAATCGAGGGATGTAAAAAATGAAATACTTTTAAAATATATATAATTTTGTAGATAGGAAAAAAAAAATGATAAAAACAACAAAAAATCTCTTATTTTTTATGCATCACAGTGCTATGCCAAAAGTGATACTGAATCTTTTACAATTCATAAATAATAAACAAAAATAAAATAAAATAATGGTGTATGAAAAGAAAAAAAAAATAATAATCCTTGTTATGTAATACATAATTAACCAGCATCTGATGGGATTGGGAAGAGGAATTGGAATAAGAGAGTTTTGAATGTGGATAAGGATGGTGCATGGCAGATTTTAAGTGGGATAGAATTCCAAAAGGTGGTGGAGTGGACAATAAAGGAATATTGAAATGAAGCAGATCTATGGAAAGGGGTGTAAAGGCCAGAAGGACGAGATCTTGTGGAGAGGGAGTGGATAGATTATTTAAATATATTCAGAAGTGCTAATAAATGGAGGGGATAAACTCAAAAATTATATATTCCAACTGGTTTGGGATATTTGATTTGAAGAGAGAATGCCTGAAGAGTGGAGAATATCAGCGATATACCCCATAAATGAGGTGACAAGCTATCTTGTGATAATTATAGGGGGATAACATTATTGAACAAGGTACTTTCTGTATTACTAAACAAACGGCCGATGAAGTGCTCTGAATCGATAGTTGACTATCAGTGTAGTTTCAGGCCTGGAAGCTGAATACCTACAAGGGATTTTCATGGTGTATGTTGCGCCATTACAACTTTTGAAGGGTAAACATTTTGACAGGATTTTGAATTTTTTAGGGAGGAGGTGGTACATGTCGAGGGAGTTATGAATTTTCGAATTGAAAAGTTTCAAACAAGGAGACAAAGGGAATACATGGAACAGACAGCAAGTGTAATTGTATATAATTTACAGCTCTTTTATTTCTAATGTTTTTAAGAAGAGGAGAGTAATAAAATATCTTAGGGAGGAGAGGGGGAAGATTCATGTCTCATCGACCATGTGGAGGATGGAGACTTCTGCCTGGAAGATCAACCATCGACCAGATATTTTCACTGCGATTGAATTCTTGAAAGGGGACATGAGTTTAATGTTGGCCTCCATAGTTTGTTTATTGAATTTAATCAGATATACAACAATTTTGATAGAGAGGAACTACTTCAGATAATGTTTGAATTGAGAATTTCCAGGAAGCTGTCTAGACTTGCGAAAATGACAATGCATGATAGCAGGATGAAAATAAAAATACAAGGAATGTTATCAGAAGAATTTGTAGTCAACAGTGGCTTGAGGCAGGGAGACCCACTATCATCTTTCTTTTTCAATTTAGTCTTGGAAAAAACTATTAGGGTAATACGAACCAACCCTAATGGAACTATTTATAATCGACTCGCACAACACTTGGCATATAGGGAAGATGTGTTCATAATAGCTAGAAATATATCAGTACTTGGAGGAGCTTCTGAAGAGTTTGAAAGGGAAGCGGCAGAAGTGGACCTTCATGTTAAATATTTAAAAACTTCTATAAGCCAACATAGTCTGTGGTACAGACCCCTTTTTATCAAATTATTAACATCCGCCTGAAATTTCTTAAATAGCTTCATCTGATCTAACCTACAAATATTTTATTTACGAAAACTCTCAGAATTGGGGCATTTTCAATCTGGAGATCGGCAAACTTTTTTTTTTAATTGGTTACTAAAAGCCCATGAATACCTGTTTGCTTTCCACTTGAATCCTTTGATAACTTGATCAAAGAATAAAAAAAAAGGTGGTCTACAAAATTATTGAGGCGTTTGGCCTAAATGACCTCGTTATTTTTTTAACTTTTTCTGGGTTCAAATGGAAAGCAAATGGGTATTTATGAGTTTTTAGTACTTAATTAAATTGACAAAGTTTGCTGATCTGCAAATTGAAAACAACACGATTCCGATAATTTTCGTAAATAAAATATTTTTAGGTTACGATCAGATGAAGATTTTCAAAGTTTCAGGGAGATGTTAATAATTTGATAAAAAAGGGATCCGTACCACAAACTAACAATTGAAACACCACGGTTTTGAGATCTACAAATGAAGTATAGGAACTTTTAAGTAACTTGGTTCTGTCATAACAGATGACAACAGAATGAAAGAGGAAGTGAATGTGTGGTTGTCTGCAGGTGACAAGTACATTTATGCCCTAAACAAATATATTAAAGTTTAAAACTCTCAAAAAAAGCACAAATCCTGATGTAGGAAACCATCCTGATACTCACAATTACTTAGGGCAGTGGGTATTTATTTACAAATGAAAGTGAAAGGAGACTCAATGTCTGAAAAGCAAAAATACTCCAGAAGATATATGGACCAATAAGAGAAAATGGTACATGGCGATTGATGAAGAATTGTGAGCTCCATGCAGTGTATCGGAAACCAGACCTGGTATCCTTTGTGTATGGAAAAATTAGAGGAGAAAAATAAACAGGAAGGCCAAGAGTGAAATGGTTGGATGACGTCGAGGAGGACCTCAAGCTGTTTAAGTAAGGAGGTGGAGGACATGAATAAAAGATAGTAATGACTGGCTTGAAATCCTTGATGAGACTCAGATCTTGGTAAAATTATGACACCCAGCAGTGCAGTGCGTAAGGGTGATAAATAATTTCTTACAATTTCACCTTCTTTTTTTTCATGTTTGGATCAATCCCTCATTCGACTGTACAATTGGTCTCTTGCCTACTATTGAGGAATTCATTTTTATGAAGAGGATTGCTGTTGGATTGCTTCGAGCTACAAGTCCCAATTATCTTAACCTCCTTACCTTAATATCATGAGCTATTGATTGGCCGATTTCTATAATAATTTTTTTATTGGTCCTTTTCCTTTATGTGTTAGTACTCTGATCCCAGATCGCTCTGGTTGTCTGTGGAGGATTTTTCTCTCAAATCTTTCAATACTTCCTTCTAGGGTGCTGTTTAGTGTCCTGATTTCACAACCATCTATCAGAACTGGCTTCATCAGCGCATTGTAATGAAACGAAATGAAATGAAAATAGATTTTTATTATCCTGGGACTTTTATCCCTTTAGGACAAATTATAGGTACAGGGAAAATGCCTGTGTGGCCATAAAATTAAATTAAATATTTACATTGCTCATTAAATTAAAAATATTGGAAGAAAAATAAAACAAAATCAAAAACAATAAATACATACAGATATATATAATACAAACATGTGAAAATAAAATAACATAGTTAAACAAAATCATTTTTGGGGGAACTTAAAAAGTTCTCTTATATACTTTTCATGATCAATCGGGTCGGGAAAGAAGTAGGTGCTTAAAAAGGAGAGATTTAAATGAGGAAACTGATTGCGCATGTCGGATATCGGGAGGGATTGTATTCCCTTAATTTAAGATTTCTAGAGATTTGTATGGATTTCAATACCTTTGAAAAAGAGAATAATGGTTAAATTAATAAAATTTTATTTTAAATATAATAAAAAAATAAACTATTTATGTATTACATGTAAAGATATAATAGTTTCAAATTTTCTTTTCTTAACTATTATGTTGACATGTATTGATTGTGTGCAAAAATGGATTTTCATGGAGCTTTTCCTTATCACTTTTCTGTAGGAGATAGGTTTGAATTTTTGATTTATTCATTTGTAGTTTGTTATTTTCTTGTTTAAAACTATTGAGAGTTGATTTTGGGATTTTTTAATTATATAAAAAAATATGATGGCCGCAAAACCCTGGGTGTCTATTACCGGTACAAAATACGCTGTCAGAATTCCTAAATTTTTCATGAATAATAAACTAATTTAATTGACTATATAGAAAAAATGAAATTGGTAAAAGACTAAATTTTTTGTCAATTAAACCCATTTTGAAATATCCACCGTTCGAGCTTAAGATGTGATTCTCATTAATGTTGTGAAATTCTCTTAAAGTGTCTATTACCATTACATTTGTCTTATATACTTTAACCCTGTAATGGTTCATAAGTAAATCTTCTGAAAATTTGTTTCACCTAAAATGAATTATTTTTATTGATGAAAATTAATAACTCCGGGATTTATATCCTATACATGTTAGGGCGTTAACTTCTTACAGTTCACCTACTCAAATTTTAATGATTAAATACTTAAAATAAGCTCTAATATTGATTATTCTGTTTAAAAATTCCCACTTGTGAAAGTTGTATACAAACAATGAAAGTTTTTTTTTTTAACACTAAAATAATTTTAATCATCTTTTTAATTAGTAGTAAATTATTTATTGGACGTATAGTTAATTTTTTATGTTTGTAAAATTTTTGTTACAGAAAAGAGGATCATGAGCAAATTCTTCAACTTTTTCCAAAAGCCAAATTTGAGTACCTTGATGCTGGTCATTGGGTCCATGCGGAAAAACCAAAAGAGTTCATTCAAATAATTGCTTCATTTTTAAAAGATTAGTCAATTTTTGTATAAATATATAATTAATTGAAAATTGCAATAATAAAAGTTTTAATCAATAAATTATTTTATTTAAGTGCACATACAATCAGATATATTTTATTCCAATTAAAGTACAAGATTATTATTGTTAAAGAATACATATATTCGGACACTTACAGGTGATATATTTATGTATGTATACATGCTTGTTTACCAACAATCATAACAATTCTTGCAATTTCAGAGACCTATGCTAAATATACCAATTGTTTCATTCTCATTGTGTAATAATAAATAAAGAAAAAACATTTGCAGCACTGCTTCTGGAACATGAGGTAGTACATAGATAGAAAAATTCTGGAATAAAGTCCTTGTAGAATAACAATAATGAACAAAGGCAAATACAAAAAATACATATTTTGCAAAAAACTAACTTAATAAGAACCAAGGAGCCAGATGTGTTTCAGAGACCAACTTATGCGTCCTTATCAGCCAGAAGCAACTCAAAAATAACATTGTAAAAGGCAACTACTTTTTTTTTCTTAGTCGATAGCAAAGCTTGACTATTGAAAATAATAAACCAATAACAGATAATATACATAAATTAAAATAAAATAGATCCATATAATGCAACAAAAAGTATACTAGAGAAAAAACAAGATAATCTTACTTAGAAAAGCAGGTGATATATCAACTAGGTAATTTAAAGTTCTTTTGAACCTGGATTCCTCTTTATCCATCATACTAAATTTTCACTGTTCCCACCTGCTATTTCACAATCCATAATGACAATTGAGGAGACAGGATTGTTAAAAGTAAATATTAGTCCACGAAACTATGTGGAGACACGTAGCAAACGGTGAGGTAGTTCTGAAATGTTTATATGTTGTAATAATAAAAAAAAAATTATATATTTTCCAGTGTTTCTGCAATATCTTATTTCAACCACATTTTAAGCTTTTTTTTTTTTATTCATTGATATTTACAACTGTATTATAAAAAAATACAACTAGTAAATCTGCACACAGTAGTAATACAATCACAAGAAAACGCTTCTTGAGAAACTACCCATTGGTAGCACTCTAATAATATATTTACATAAGTAGATCACGAGGCCATCTTCTTTTCAGATGCCTCGGAGGGTTATCAGGGATCGAGGAGGAAGCAAGGTTTGAAACGAGAGGGTTCGGATGGTTCTGGAGTTGGTTATGGAAGGATAGGTATCTGGATTGGGCCAAATCGGAAACATATGGAACATAAAGGTCTTTATGGATGATTTTATTTGTGACAAAGTAAGGAGCATTGAGGATTTTACGAAGAATTTCGGATTGTAAGGAATGGATACGAGAGGAATTCGATGGTTTAGTCCAGGCCCAAAGCTCAATTCCGTAAGTCCAAATAGGTTTTATTATTGTCATATATATGAGTCCTTTGTAATTGATTAAAATCTTACAGCGTTTGTCTAGTAAGTATTGGAGTAGTCGGAAACGTCGAGCAGTTTCTTGTCTTTTCAGTCTTGTATGAGGATTCCATGTGAGTCATTTGTCCAGGTGGAGTCTTAAGTATCGGATTTGTTCGACAGGGATAAGAGGACTATTGTTGAAGGATACTGTAGGAAGGAAGTCATAAGTTTACGACGAAGAGTGAAGGTAATTTGATGGGATTTATTGGAATTTATTTTAATCCTCCAGTTTTGACACCATTTTTCAAGACTTGTGATGTGTGATTGAAGAGTTCGGGATGCAGTTGATGGATCATTATTAATAGATAGGATACATGTGTCATCAGCATATGTGGTGATGACAGTGACAGGATGGGTTGGGATGTCAGCTGTATAAACTGTGTAAAGGATAGCACCAAGGATACTACCTTGAGGAACACTAGCAGACTGGGAAAAAAGGGATGAATAACAGTTTTTGTGATTTACTTTAAAGCATCTATCAGTAAGGTAGGAGCAGATGATGAGGAAGTATACAGGTGGTAGGAATTTACGAATTTTGTACATCAGTCCAGGGTTTCAGACCCTATCAAATGCCTGTTCAACCTTGAGAAGACTCCCGTGCAGTACAATCCGCGCTCCGATGCAGAGGAGACTACGTCCACCACACGACATTGCTGGATAGTGGAATGAAATGTGCGGAATCCAAATTGGTGGTCTGGGATTATTTGATTAGAATCTATGATGGGATACACATGTGCTTAAAATATAAAAATATATACTTTAAAGGCTGATATTTGAAAATAATACTTGTGTCATTATTGATGGTGACCACTACATGTTCGAGGAATTCTATAGGACTGAATAATAGGCACATCTATTACTACTAATTGTGGTGATAACTCTATTGCATTGCAAATAGCCTATTGTCACGTGTTAAGTTTAATTATTAAAATAGAGATTATAACATTTCATTACCTGTTGAGTAATATTTTTCACTTAATAAAGCATGGATTAAAAAGGTTCAATTTCTTATTGGATTATACTACGATTGATTAAGTGAAAAAAATGCCAAGAAGAACTGAAATGATTGGTATGCAACTTTTATTCAATTTTTAGCCACTTGTACGCTTACCATTGCAAAGAAGCATCAATTATTGGTAAATTTTGTCTCCCGGACTGTTTAGGCTTACTTTAGTGAGTGTTCCACTTTTGAAAAGTTCATCGCTACCATAGCCCCAGTATCCTTGTACTCATCACTTATAGATGGTCGGAAGCCAGTTGTCACCAAATCAAGGGATGCTGCTAATATAAATAGAGAACAGAGTTGGGGATAGTGAGGAGCCCTGATAATAGAAGGGACAAGGAAGGAGATTTGTCAGGAATAACAACTGTCTGGGAGCAATGGGACGAAAAAGAGAGGAACTATTTCAGAACGCTATTGGATACGGGCAGGCTTTGGAGTTTGGAAATGAGGATATTACGATTGACAGAGTCGAAGACTTTTGAGAAGTCGAAAAGGACTAGGATGGAGATTTTCTGTTTGTCTATGGATCTTGGAGGTCTTGGGTAATCTTTAACAAGGCAGAGAAGGTGGAGTATTAGGAACAGAAATCGGATTGTAAAGGGTTAAGGAGACAGTTTTGCTCAAGAAAGTTGTTCAACTGAGAGTGGACTAATCTTTCTAGAGGCTTGTATAAAATGGAAATGTGTCTGAAGTCGGAAGCTAGTGAAGAAGCAGGAACTTTGTTCAACGGCTGGACAATGACTTTTTTCCAGGATTTGGGAAAAATCGAATTTTGGAGGGGAAAATTGTAGATGTGTAGCAGTATAGGAAGTAAGGATGGAAGGCAAAGTTTAATGATTTTCATAGGAATTTGGTCAGGACCATAGTTATTGGTTTTAGATTTAAAGATAGTAGATAGTAGGTCAGTTGGAGAGATATCAAGGAAAAAAAATTATCTGGGTCAAAGGAGGTTTCAGTGATAGAAAAAGGTAAGAGGTCGGATATGAATACAGAAGGAGTATGGTTTGCAAAAAAGAGATTTAGTTCATTGGGATCTACTGGATAAAGTGTGCTAAACATTGTTAAAGCATTGAGCTTTGGCCTGGCATAAGGATATTTGTGTACTGTTTCATAGGGATTTGAATATAGTATAGTGTTGGGTTAGTTGTGTAAGTTGTATCGTCTTCTGGTAGCCTCTTCCTCTCATCAACTCTCTAATTTCTGAATTCATACATGGAGCAAGAGGACATCTAAAAGTACAGATTTTGAGAGGAGTATGATGTTTAAGGAAATCAAGAAGGTTGGAGGAAAGGTATTCCACCACGTCATTGATGGAGGAAAGGGAGTAGATGGGTTCTAAGGAATCAAGATAAAGTCTGATGTTTTCAATGGTTAGGGAATCAAGATCTCTTCAGGAAATTTGTTTGGAAACAAGGGTCGAAATAATAACATTGTATGAGATGAGAGAAAGGAAACAGGATTGTGCGAGGAGGATAATAGGTTTTGAAAGGAATCAGTGGACTGGGTATGATGGGTGGATTGAAAAGGTACAATAAGTTTAAGGGAAAAACTGGTCAATAAGGTATGTTTTGTCCGGAGTAACTGAAAGGAGGTTGGCATTGATATCGCCTGCAATAATGACATTTTTGAACAGAGGAATATATGTAAGGAGGATGGTAAATAACGATGTAGAGTAGGGTGTAGTCCTTATACCTAATCCTTCGATCCTACCTCTCTGACCGCTCCTTTAGGGTACGCTGTGGAACAGCATTTTCCGATATCTATCCATTCCTAACCTTATCCATCGGAGTCCTGACCACTAGCGAATCCAGCCGGGGGGCGCCCCCTCCCCCCTGGAGGCTGGAAAAAAAATCCAAAAAGTTCCAAAAAGCAGCTATTTAAAGAAAAGAGAAATATAGGGAAAATTCATCCTCATAGATGAAATAAAAATAAATTATTATCGTTATTCTATACCAGACTTATAGAATAATTCTATAAGTAGGGTATGTGATTTGTTTTTTATATTTAATGATTCTTAGAGGTAATTTAAATTTTATATACTTTCCAGGAAATGAGTCATATCAATACCTGTTTTATAAAGTAAAATAATATAAACCTAATCTACATATAATGAATAGTTGCCGGGTTATTTAGTAAAATTTATTGTTATGAAATTGTGGAATAAATTGTTCGGAAGTTGGACTGTATCATGAAAAAATTATAATAATAATAACCTTTATTTGTGCATACAATGAAAAAACAATGGATAAAAATATACAAAATCTCTTATATGTACAAAATCAATTTAGTTGAGGTTTTGAGTTCGATTTGTTTCTTTCTTTTTTTTTTTTTCTTTTTTTTTTTTATATTTAACTTTCTTGCAACCACACTAGGTAATGAACCTGTCCCATCCTTTTCCATTCTTTCCTCTCTAATGCTACTCTCTTCCAGGCTGCTCCCCCGCAGATCTTCTTCATCTCCTTGTCCCAGTCTGTCGGCAGGCATCCTCTCTTCCTCACGTGCTCTCTTGGATACCAATCCATAAACTGCCTGGTCCATGTTAATTCATTCCTCCTGATTACATGTCCGGTCCAGGTCCACTTCCTGATGAGCACTTTTTCCACAATATCTGGAAGGTCAGTCTTA